ATGAGAGAAGGAAATTAGGAAATAAACTAAATTAAATTGATTGAAGCAGAACTGAACTGAACTGAAATTAAGTTGAAGCGAACAAACCCTAAAACTCTATGACATGAACTTCAATAGCAGTTCATTCTAGTAACCCACTAATTGAATTAGCTATTCATTATGTTATAGGAGCAATTCAACCAAAAATATAAAGTTGATGGTGAAAGTCTAGGATTAGTTTATATGCTAAATTAATTTTTTTTTTTCCAAGTGATTATAGTGAAAAGTTAATTGCCATGTGACATGCATGTCTTTCGTAATTGAGTTACAATTTTATCTTTGGTAAAATCCGTAAAATTTACTAGTGGTCTTGTGACATTAATTAATCAATTAATCAATCAAAGCCTTAATCTCATAAGTGAAATCGACAGAGTGGTTTTATTGCATAATTAAAACATACGGCTTTTTCACCAAATGCCATTGAGAACTTTAAAAATTCATGACCAAATACCATCGGACTTTTTAGAATTCACCAAATGACACTCAGTTTTAAAATAATTCACTGAGTGCCATTAATGACTAACGACTGTTAACTCTGTTAGTCATTAAGTTTTAATCATGACACATGTCATGATATGATTGGTTTATTTATTTTAATTCATAAACTTTAATTGAAAAACAAAAAATTAAATAAAAAAACCAAAAAAAAACCCCAAAATTTTCCCAGCCATCTTCCCACCACCGTCAAACCCTAGCCCCTCCCCTTATCTCGCCGGAAAACGGCCGGTCACCCCCTAACCACCAAAAAACGGCCGATCGACCCTTTAGCACCACACCTGACCCACCGCCGACCCCCAAAACCACCCACACAACCTGCCCCGACACTAAATACCACCAAAAAGAGCTTTGATTTAAACACCCAGCGTTTTCCAACTACCGTGCAAAACCACTGCTCCTGTCCTCCACCCTTGAAACGTCGAAATCGACCATAGAATCGACCATTCTAGATTTCCACGGTTGATTTCGGCCGTTAGAGGGTGAAGGGTTTCCACAGTCAGGTTCTATTATGGGTTTCCATGGTCGGTTGTGGTGGCTATGGTGATGCATCGTGTTGGTTGCAGGGGCTGGGGTGGGGATCAGCGCAGGGGTCGTCGGCTAAACGAAGTTTTGTGGGTCAGCGTATGGGTTCTGGAGTCGGGTAGCAGAGTTTTGGCGTGAGATGGTTGTGGTGGTTTTTCGGGAGGAGGAAAGCGGGATTAAGTGGAGTCGACGGTTTTGATGGGGTCAAGGGGTTTCAGCGGGAGGTCAGGGGGTTCCGGCGGGTTTCGAAGGAAGGTTAGGGGAATCTGGCAGGAGGTCAAGGAGTTCCGGCGGTTGGCTTTGGGTTGTCGGTTGGCTTTGGCAGGTGGTTACGGTGGTGGGGCTAGGTTGGTTAGGATTTAGAGTATTTTTAATTTTAATTTTATTTATATTTTTTAAACCAATAACCGATTGACACGTGTCCACATGTGTCATGATTAAGCCTTATTAATGGCACTCATTGAATTATTTAAAATCTGAGTGGCATTTGGTGAATTCTGAAAATTCCGATGGCATTTGGTGAATTTTTAAAGTTCTCAGTGACATTTGATGAAATAGTCGTAAAACATATTACCTAGACATGCTGACATGGGTAGTGATAGATAGTCTATAACACAAATTATGAAAGGAGCTTACTAGGGTTTTGGCCATCTTTTAGCTAGTATAATAAGGAAAATGATTCTTTCTTTTATGAAAGGTTTTATAGAGGTGTTAATGCTCTCAAATCTCACTCTCAGTTTAAATGGAAATAAAGTTAATTAACATGAATTTACATTGTTATTATGGAGTTATGATGCTGCTTTTGATTCTAGGTACTAATAAGGAGACAAACAAGATTAATAGAATTGATTAACCCACTTTTAACTATCAAAATCACAAATTCTACTTTGTTTTAAACAAGTGTGAAAAGGTGGAAGTCACAAAAAGATCAGAAAGTACAAGGGAAAAAAAGACTAGAATTATTACTATTTCCGATTTTTTTAGTTGCAACTTTGGGGTATTTTTTGTGAGACATAAAATATTCTAAAGCTGCAACTAAAAAAAATCGGATGTAGTATTATAATATATAGGGTACTTTTACTATCTCCATACCAAAGTAATTGACAATTTGACTTTAGCCATGATACATGAACTTTATTTTGACTAACTTTTGTAAATTATATTTAAGAAGTAAAGTCATATGGAACTTGTTAGATCATTCTCAATATATATCTTCAAACTATCAACTTTCTACTCCATGATTAGAGTTATTTACATAATGACAAACGCAACAAAAAAAACGTGTCAACAAATTTCGAATAGAGAAAGTGCCTCTAGCTTCCTTATACGACCCTCAACGCGATGTTTGGAACTCATTTGGTGAGGAGTCAAAAGACAACAACACATTAGCCATTTGGCCATATAAGGAATAAAGTGTTTTGCTATATAGATAAATTAGCGAAATATAATTCCGGTTGAAACTAAAAGTGCAAGGAAAGGATGTATAGTACTTCGTATATGATGAGCTAAAAAAAAGTGCGAAACTTGTTAGATTCTACACTACACTTTTCTCCTACATAGTCCCCCACAAATCCAAAATATAAGTAGTACTCACTCAATAACATAAAACTAGATGCTACTAATCTATTTTTTTCTTCTTCATAAAGGTAAGAAAAAGAATGAAAACACCAAGGGACCCTCCTAACGAGGGAATTCTTAATACCTCAAGAAAAAACGAATATTAACTAGACTGTTGTTACATGAAATATTATTCAATTTGTGTGAAACTAAGGGCTTGTTCTCATTGACTGAACTCACCTGAGCTGAACTGAACTGAACAGAACATTTTATAAGAGAAGGAAATTAGGAGATGAACTGAACTGGACTGAATTGAATTGAATATCAACGTATGAGAACAGACCCTTAAATGCTTGACATCAACAATTATGCTAGTAGCTCTATTAACTTTTCTATAGATGTAACAAATCGCCTATTATTGATCTAGTAGAGAAAGATAAGTTGTTTAATATGAAACTCTACCTTTGGTTAAATGTTTTTCCAAAACCAAATATTCAAAAAGCTCATAATAACCAAATATATATGTATTGGCTTGGAAATCAAATTATAACACTCTAAATTAATATAATCTACTGTAATTTTACATTATCACAAAGTTCAAAATAACTAGAGGCCAAGCATAGTTTTTATTTATTTTTATTTTTTTATAGGCCTTGACAAGTTGACAATCAATCCAATATACTACCTCCATTACACATTATTTGCAACGATTCGGCATAAAGTAGAGAGGGAAAATGTCTAATCGTTGCAAATAATATGTAACGGAGGTACTAACATCTATCAAGTTTGTAAAAAAACAAAAAAAAAAAAACATCTATCAAAGTGAAAGTTAAAAAGTGCAAGAGGCTTTTGTAAAAGGTATCTAGCTAAGTGTTTAAAATATTGAAGTGATAACTTTGCTGCATGAAGAAGTTACGTAATATTGAGGTTTATGATGTAGACTCCATTGTTCTTTGATGACCATTCACAATGATGCAATTAATTTTCTTGAAATGATGACCCTCAATTAAAATCAAGTAGCAAATCACACAACTTTAGGGTTTTGAGAAGAAGATATAGTCGCTTCCTTGGTAATTGCATGCCTCTAATTCCATTGCATATGTTTGTATATTTTAATACTTTATGCACCCTGCATTTTTTTAATTAGTGTTCTATTAGCACTTTTTGCATTTTTACTTGACATACTTTGACTAATGTTCGCATTTTTTTTCCTTGGATGTTCTCACGATATTTTAACTCACGATATTTTTTCTTGTTTCCTCCTTTCATGTTTCCGCTCTTCCAATCCCTTCATTGATGGGCTCTTGTAGTTTAATTGAAGGCTAATTTGGACAATTTTTATTACTTCTTTGTCGACGTATATTTTGAGTAGCTAAATTTCACTGTACATTCGAAGTTAACATCATTTTTATGTAATTGCTTATTGATTGGTTTTGCAATATTGTTCATGAGAAGGTTAATAGTGGAGGTTTTATGACGTAACAATGGCCGTTATGCACAAACGCTTGTAGCTTAAGAGCCTGAACTGAACTGAAATGAAATGAACTGAATATTTTATAAGAGAAGGAAATTAGGAGCTGAACTGAACTGAGCTGAGCTGAATTGAATTTCAACGTATGAGAACATGCCCTAACTCTATTGCATTTAGGATCAGTCGTACCTTTTAATAATGTGTACAACTGTACAAGTGTATTACTAATATACCATCCTTCAAGGCTCTATGTGTTTTAACGGAAAACAATAATTTGGAAAAATGATTCTACATGTAAAATAATTTCAAGGGAAAACATAAACGTAAAAATAGTTTTCGAGAAAAGGGAGTTATGCAGAAGGGAGAAGATGGACGAGAGAGGAGGTAAAGGATGTAATGAGTAGGGAGGAAAATGTGACATACCTTCTATTAAAAGGAAAAATTTCCAACTCTCTTGTACCAGGTCATTACAATGGTACTAATGGGACATACCTTAATTGGCAATTACCAAGACTACCAGTTAATTATGCCACTAAAAACCCCATAATTAGGATTAGTAAAGAATTAATTGCTTTTCTGCAAAGCCGCGCTACCAAACCTGGCCTAACATGCCTTAGATTCAAATTAAAATATCTAACACCACATCATTTTGATTAAGGTTATCAACCATCAAGTAATGACAAGTACTAACCTAAAAAAACAAAATTCAAATATTAATAATAATCTTTAAGGAAAAAAGACATAACAGTGACACTAATTAAATAATTAATTATACAGTAAATAAATCAAAAAGTAAATCCAACACCTGTAAACCTACTTCACGTTTAGCCAATGGCAATGGAGTCAAATATTCTTATTAAATTCATTATAAATATAATAATCATTAAATAATATTATATCACAACTAGATTCAAAGAACAAATTTTCATTATTTTTTTCTTCTTTTGAATAGATATTTTGACAAAAATAATATTCTAATGTTGTCCCCTTCAAACTTCAATAGTTTAGCAAACCAAAATAATCAGGTCTGATGTATCCTACTAGCTGGTTCCAGGAATTTATTTTAAGTAATATCTGCTTCATATATTAATTTATTACTAACTATACATTGTTTGCAAAAAAATGATCACTAACCTAGACAATGTGGTATAGAAAATTATCTAATAGGATTTAAGCTGCAGCAGATTGATCGTCTTCATGATCATCGAGATTCAAAGCGTGCAGCAACTTTGGCCAGGATTCTGGAATTCCACCAGGAAGATCAAACTGCAACAGTTTGCCCCGCATGCGATAAAATTCCTCCACAGGTCGAGTCTGCACATATATATCAAGCTCACGTGTTAATCTTGCTTAAACATGCCAAAAATACAAGATTCATCTCCAGCATTCACCGGCATCACAGCCTACTTCAAGATTATTATTTTGTTTTATTGATATTTTAAGAAGACAAGAAACAACCATAAAAAAAATTGCCTTTCTGAGATGGGATGCAGGAATGGAGACAAGAAACAAAAAATTATCAGAGCACTTGAGATTGAATAGTAGTACCAATTCATCGTATATCCGGAGTCTCTCCCTCACAACTTCTTCTTTATCATCAGCGCGACTGATAAGCTTTGAGGCACATTCAGCTGGAGGGAGAAGAGGAGCCATGTACATTCCAGGGCTTTCATCATCACCCTTGATGTCAATGCATGCAACATTGTAATTTCCACCACACTGACTACAGATTCTTCTACCAAGGCATTTTGCAAGTAAGGCTTCTTCACGGAGCTTAAGATTCACCACCAAGTCAATATCAATAACCCCCTCCAAAATTTCCTGTCACAAACAGCAAATAAAATGAAACAAGCATGTATATCAATAAACAAGCATGTATAGGAGAAGGAACTTACCTCTTGCAGAAAGAATATAAATAAATAAACAATTAATTACACCCTTATAAATTACATCTTGCAAGAAGAATATTAAATTTTGACTTGAAAACCTAATCAGTACAATGTATACTACCAAATACAGATCAAACTTACCTATTGCAGAAGCCTTGCATGCTTTCAGATGCTGTAATCATAAACTCTTGATGTGGCTGAACAGAAGATGTGTCCAGCAACATTGAGAAATGACAGGCTTACAGCCTAGTATTTGACCTTCCATACAATGATGTATACTTCTCATTTAGCAATTGCATATCATGGAGTAGTTCATTCATCATTACTTCATAGTAGGGTTTAATAAGAAAAACAGGGTCAAAATTGGCGATGAAAAAGAAAGATGTGCTTGGACCAGGAAGATAGCCAAATATGGAGAGATACTGAAACTTTGAAGGGTAAAAACAGTAGTATTGTACAATGTTCTATATCTCCTCTTGTGCATCATAAATTAAGCACATATATTTACCTGTCCTCAAAGGAAAATATATTTTGGATGCTCTGTCTCTCATTTCAAACGCACCAAAGTTAGATGTTAGAAATAATTAGCTAGCTCAACATGCAACAGCCATCCATAAGAAGATGAGATGTATCATCACCAGAAAATTCAGGGAGGGTGCATCTCCTCTGCATACCAGTCAAATCGAGCCTAATGAAGTAATGAACTAATGTATAACACATAGATAGTAGGTTAGCCTGGTGTTACAGTTCTTATATTCCACATGTCAATCAGATCAGTACTACTTGGGATGTGGTAGAACAGGTTCAAGAATGTGTTTACCTATTCTTTGCAAAACATGTCCAAAACTGTATTGACTTACCATGTATTAATTCCAAATTGTTGAGAATCATGGTCACGCTTTGGGGAGGGGATTAGCAAATAGGTAACAGTGGTCCAATTGTATCATTAGACATTTGTTATTACTCCCAAAATAGTATCATCTAATGTAACTACGTCTCTTATCAAAATAACAATCCTGTGAATAAAATTTCCCTGAAGGACACCATTTTATGTGATTTAGCATTTCCTCCATAGTCCATAACGTTGTTACCTACAGGCTACTGCAGCAGTTTCAGCAAGTGAACATATAATGAGCATGCAATTCGTTTCTCACAAGTCACAACGAATTCCATTTGATAGAATATTATAGATCTGGCAAATGGGTCATTCCGGTTGGGTATGGGTCGGGTCATTTCGGGTCGGGTCAAGTTCGGGTCAAAAGGTTATCGGGTCAAGTTCGGGTCGGGTATCGGGTCAACACTTTGGTTCGGGTCAATTTTCGGGTCGGGTCAGTTCGGGTCGGGTCAACTTCGGGTGATTCATTTGGTTAAATTCAACTCTTTATATTTATTTATTTATTTATTGACGAAAAACTCACTATATTTATTGAGGCTATTTTTTTCGTGGAACATAGTAATTGTTTGACTTATATTAAGCTCTTTTTTTTTTTTTTTTTTTTGTGTGTGTTTAGATTGAGAATCACTTTCAGTATCTCCTGAAACTAAAAGGGATGCTCTAACTAATTGAGTTATACCTCACTCTCTTATTGATCTTAGTTTTAATACGTACTCATATTATCATTGTCATTGTTGTAATAATTTCTTTGAATTATTCTTATACTCTCTCCGTCCCAAATTACTCTTAACGATTTGACATTATGCACTATTTACACATCTCACTTTGACCGTCTTTTTAGCTATTATATGAAAGCCAATGTAGTCATGTAAGATGTTGTTGGGTCTATTTTAATGTATAATTTCCTAATATAAACTTTTTATAACTTATACAATTATTTACTAAAAGAAGTTAAAGGTCGGGTCATTTTCGGGTCTCGGGTCAATTTCGGGTCGGGTCATCTCGGGTCGGGTCGTTTCGGGTTGGGTCATTTCGGGTTTTGGGTCAAGGTCAGGACAGTTCCACTTCGGGTCGGGTATGGGTCGGGTCGGGTTAATTCGGATTTTGGGTCAATTTCGGGTCACTGAATTCGGGTCGGTTTCGGGTCATGGGTCGGGTCATTCGGGTCGGGTCATTGGGTCTGGGTCAAGATTGCCAGGTCTAGAATATTACACACATGATTTATTATTGCACCAGTAAAAAAGAGGGACTGATTAGCATAAGAAAACCTCTGGGGTGCTTGGTTCATTTAGGTATGAAGTATGGGTTTTACCTTGCGTTTATTTGAGAAAATTCTTAAACCCACAAGGTATGGGGTTTAGAAACCCAGTAGAGGAGGTGGGTATGGATCATACAATACCTTCCAGAGTTTCAGGTATCAAATAAAAGAAAGATGTTCATTCCCGAACAACACCAAACACATGGTATTAACTATTAAGTATCAAGTTCCAACCCAATACCGCCTTAATCTCATTCTTGATTCTAAATCCGTACCACTACGCAAATCGTTTTGACCCGCTTCACAAGTCCATCAAAACAATATTGTGCAGCTATAAAGCCTCGTCCCTTTGCCAACTTATCATTTTATATTAGAGGAGACAATAGAGGATATCTCTTAGGCCTTGGCCCAAAACTCTAGTTAATAAGCAATCCGAATAGAAAGAGAAAGGACTAAGAGCGAGAGAGGGGCAGCTCATAAATAATGGATTAATGGTAAAGGTTATCTTGCTATGAGGCAATAGATAACCCAATATCTAGAATCGCAATCTAGCAAGAAGAGGCAGGCTGTTATGATGCTTTGCTTTCTTCCACCATAGCATCTCAATTCTCACCACAAAGAGTTAAGAATTTGTAGCACAGCTTACTTTTTAACCAGCCATTTCGTTCTTTGATCTGTTTTCTCACTCTTCCATCATCACTTTGAGAGTTTGAGAATACTAGATAGCATGCTGACTTGATTTGGCACACCAGCAAATTTAGAACACATGATTCTTTAAAATGAATAGAAGTTAGAACACTGTTCACCTGGAGGGGCAAGAGGTTTGGCGAGTTTATTAACTCTCACCCCAGGGTTTGCAGTTGGTGGTAAATCAGTAAACAAAAGTACATTTGAAAAGTCTCTGATAATCCAAAGCAACTGAAAACTATATAAGCATAGCAAAGGGTGTTTGGTCTTGGGCCTCAGAATCTTTAAAGAAACAGAAAAAATGAGTTGACAACTCCCAATTATTGAGTGTTAAATATGACATACTTTCAGATCCTTACCTAGAGCTCAAGGAATTTTTAAATAATTAATTCAAGAAGGGTCTATTGAATAATTAGGTAAAAAGTATAAAGATAATTATATTAACAAAAGTCTACAACTGCAGTTGTAAGAAGTTTTCAGAGGTAGATAAATCAACTGTTCCAAAATGTTAACCCATTAATTAACTACATCCAGGATTCTCAAAGATAACATCACATTTTTCATTTTTGTCACTAAAAATTCTGTCTTCACATTCACTACTATGTAGCAGGTAAATACTTGCTTTCACATTTTGCTCAAAAGCTTCAATAATCTTGGGCCTCAAGGCAAAGCATATAGTAAGAATTTGTAGTTGATATGAAAAATTTTAACTCTTTTCTACAATCAGTGGACAAGAGCAAAATTGCTTAATGTCAAGATACTACAAAAGACTACATGAAACTCTACAAGAATCACGAGGCCAGCAATGAGAGAATAAGAGGAAAGAACATAGCTAACACCTCCACCCCAAAGAAAAAGCAAACTCAATGCTTGAAAAGTGTCAAATCCTGCCACTTGCTTCCAAGAACATGCTCAGATGGATTATGGCTAGACTGCTAGAGACAAGGGGCGAGTAAATACTGGTCTAAGAGGGGTAAAATGTACCTAGTTGCTCCGCCATAGAGCCTCTCAAATGTAATTAAAAAGGGGGGGGGGGTGGGCAATATAAAATGGGTCGTTGAATCGAACCCACTCCATTTGGAATAGTGACGGTTCAATTACAGTAAAATAATATATACTCTGCCAGCCTCCACTAACTGTAACAAGTGAGATGAAATCAAAACTAAGAGATGACAAAAACCCAAATGCCAAGAGTAAAAAACAAAGTTCTACAAGATAAGATTTAAAAAGTTAATTGCATAGCCCTAGTCATTAGTGAGACATAAATGTCACTTTTCCACACATCATTATTCACTCACAGTGACTAATTGACAGCAGAAACCCAATTCATTCTCACAATATTTTAAATTGGGCTGGCAAGAAATTCTAGTAATTTGGAAATTGGACATTGTAATTATCAAATGAAAAATCAAGATTGCTTTGTCACTACAACATTGAATTTTTTTTGTCAGTATCCCTACAAAAAGTGTAACGAGCGGGAGTTGGTGACAGAATTGAAAGGTTTAAGAAATTGAGTTTGATTGATGTAAGGAAAATTACAGGAAATGAAAAGATAGTACAAGCTTTCAAGAGGCTTTTTCTCAGCCAACTAACAAACCAAATCAATCTTTACAGTTTTCTAAATACCCCCTCTACCTCTCATCTCTATGGTATACATTGTAGTTCCCCGTTCGGCCATTCTTCCATTCTAACTAACTTGCTTCCTCTGAATCCTCTCTAAGCTAATCCAAATAGAATTTTTAAGCACTACCAATATTACCCCTTTTCTTACCTTTCCCATGTCGCTTTGAAGGTACATCCAAATCATCCTTTTGGGAGGGAAAAATGAATTTCTTCAATATTAAAGGACTTATTGGTATACCCTTTAATCAAGGTAGTTTAACAGGCGATCATCCCTCCAACAAGTTGGTATAATCACTAAGAAGCCTAATCAAGCACATTTGACTTAAAGTTGATTGGGACTGAGCTGCAAAGATGAAGAAAGATATGGTGTATGTGTACGCTTAGTCTAAATAGAGGAAAATATGGAAAGTCCATAGAAACACTTCTCCAGCAGTTTTGAACTCTTGAAATCAACTACAGCAAGTTCAGCATTTAAAGGGTTTAAAATTTTTAAAAAGAGAGGGTGACAGCTATCGAAGCTACAGAAATTAGTAAGTCAGACAAAAGATAGAAAAACCAATCATAAACATAGCCTTTAGTTTTGACAGTTTTCTATAAACCAAAGACCAAAAACAGAAGCTTCAACACCTTGGCTATTAAGGTAACTATTCATGCATATTCAGCATTCATTATGGCATTATATGAAAAAAAATATATAACTAAAAGTTGCAAGCCAATAGAGCATTATTATCATATCTGATGAAGACTTTAGTAGGGGAATTGAACATTAGTGCCATCTTGATTTTTGTCAAACAATAAATAGGCTGTGTCTATGTACTCAAAATTGAGCCTAAAACCTTGTCACTGAACACATGTTTTTGTCCCTCTCTCTACATATACAGCATACGTAAGCATGTGTATTAAAAAAGGTACATATTCTGATGTTTATCTAGATGACAAGATCTGACTATCAGCTTCCCTTAACATAGAAATTATAACATTCAATATAAGCATATATAATACTTCCTTTATTCTTATATAGATGACTTGTTCCATTTAAACACGCTTGCCAATGCGGTTTTTTAGCATTTAATATTTCTAACGATGCATTTGTGATAATTATTAAATTTAGAAATATTGAGACAAATCTAAGAAGACCCCACATGATTATATTTTTTAATTTAAGTATAAATCAAAATGAAATGGACAAAGTAGCTTATGTGAATTGTGAATAGTGAATAGTTTTAAAAGCCAAACAGTCCATCTAAAAAAGTGCAAAGTAAGTATCATATTAAATATTTAATGTAAGTGCTCACCGCCTGTCTAACTGTACGAGGAAAACCATCAAGAATAAATCCGGATTCACCCTTGGCTTCTCCAGCTTTAAGACGCTTGGACAACAGATCCACTATAATTTCATCTGACAACAGCTTCCCCGAGTTGACTATCTCTGCAATCTATAGTACTTACAATGTTAGAACTCATTATTTTTACATCATGCAGCCATTGTATTGAACACTAATCATAACACAAGCAGAGAGTTGAAATTTGGAATCAACAAATTACATATCTCTGCATAAAATTTCAGGACATCAAGAATCAACACTGAATTAATGCTGATGTAGTGGTAGATTGTTTAAATAATTCAGTCTCAGATCATTGCCCTCTGTTGATTAAATGTGATTAATTAATTGCGTGTGGGAGTAGGCTTTCAAATTCTATCCCAGTAGAGCATAAATGGTTTATGGATGTTAATAGTGAGCTGTGACACAACCTACTATTGGGACAACTAAAGGGTATCAAAACTTCTTTGAAGAGCCTTCACAGAGAAGAAGATCCCAGAGTTGGAGAAAAGGTTGAAAAAACTGAAAATGAGCCAGATAACATTCAATCTCAGTTACGTCTAGTGGTCCAGCTTACACATGCTCAGAAGTAGGAATTGGTGCTGCAATTAAGGAAATGACTATTTATTGAAGAAATTATTTTTTTGTGATAAATCCAGAATAAATTGGTTTGCCCTAGGTGACTCTAACTCTCACCACTTTGATGCTACCGTAAAAGAAAGATACGCCAGGAACAGAATTCAGTTTTGTACTCTGACAAAAGCTAGGTGGTCCTATTGCATCCAAGATGAAGTTAAGGGATTTACCAGAAACTGCTGGAAATACTGTCTCTATTTCTCCCTCAATCGATCATCCTGTAATTAGAACGGGTACAGATCTCAGTAATGAAGCAAAGGCTTTATTGTGTCAACCTATGACAATTACTTAGATAGACCAGACTCTTGAAACAATTGATGATTCCAAGGAATAGATGGTTAATGTTTGTTTCATGAATGCAACAAATACATTAATCAAATTGGTTTTGACTGCTTTTCAGAATTGCAAAATGGCCAAGGCAATCAAATGTAATTCACTAAAGCTCTTGATCCTTAGGTATCTCCATGTACTCCATCCAATATTAAGCAATTTCACCCTATTGCTTGATGCATTGTACTATATCAGCTTATAATTTAAGTCCTTGCTTCTAGGCTTTAAACAGTTGCGGAGGAAGTTGATGGGGTCTGGGGACACATAGTGGATGAAATCATATTGAGTATTTAAGTTCTGAACTTATCAAAACGAATTCAAGGGCTAATATGTCTCCAAGGTTCTTATTGAAATTGGATTTTTAAAAAGCCTATGACTCTATTAAACAGAGCTTTCTTTCATAGCTTGACATTTCTCTATGGATTTTATTACGGAATTTGTTAGTTCAGGGTCTTATCTCACTCATACAAATGAAAGAACTTTGACTCCACTAAATGCTGAAAAAGGATGAGACAAGATGAACCTCTCTCCCCCTTTCTTTTTTTCCATAGGTTGAAAGTTAAATACCCCCTCCTTCCTCCACCACCACATTCATAAGTGGAATACCCCCTCCTCTATCCACCACCTCCTAACTCCAACCCACTGCCAAATAAAAAACAATATTAAAAAAATAAACACGGGTTCATCTACACTTGTTTTTGATGACAAATTCCAAGGAGTTAAGAGATCAATATGTATGGAAACAAATATCAAGTAAATCTCGCCAACAAGGGTCTTTCTTTTGGTTGGGGTCCTTGGGGATAATCATGACATAATTCTCAGCCCTCATCCATAACAAATATGTAACATGTTTATTCAGAATTAAGATAGTGTTTCCTTGGAGGAAAAAAAGAATAAGAGAGTGTTAATATATAGTTCAAACTCAATCATATCTATTTCGGAAAGAGCACATCCATTTTGAAAAGGGAGTATTTTTTTTATGTTGGTCGTTGAGTGGTTCTAGTTATAATCCCTTTGACCCTTAATATTTGCCCCATTTTCCTTTTTAGTCAGTTCCTTTGAGTTTGCTCCATACTATTTTAGGTTGTAAGGATCACACCTTCACTCTCACAACCACTACATTAACCCCATCACTTTTCTCTCTCATCAAATCTTTTCAACCAAAACTTTATACAGTAATTTCACGGGCAAAATTAAAAGGGATGGAAGGAGTAATTATGTGATGTCAAAGGTTTATACTACGTATTACATTAAAAAAATCTTAAGTTCCAACCTTCCATTTATACTTTCTATCTATTTTCACCGATTAGATGTTGGACGTTCAATACCTGCCTATTGTGCATTCAAGACTCGCTATTTCCCTAGAGTTTCACACCTTAGCAGTCACTACACGATCATCCTAGCACCTCGTCTGAGGCTACCACCAACGGTGGGATTAAAGATACCAGTTGTCTGTAAGAATGTAACTTTTACTAAGCAAACACATCCTCTGATTATCTTAACTATACAAAACACCCATCAAACAATCCTGCTGCTCCACATTCCACAACGAAGCACGATTAACCAATACCTCTAATTAGAGCTTAAAGAAGACGCAACCCTAAACCCTAACACCTCTACAACACAAATCAACAGCTAAAACTGGAAACATTATCTTAATTCATCGAAGAGGTTGATGCATCAATCACTACTTAATCAATAATGCAGAATTCAGTACCCAAATATCATCATTCATCAAAACACATAAAATTAAGATTACCATCAAAAACCCAAAATCAAATTCGAATTACCAAATTCAAAAAACAATCAATGAATTCAGCAATAACCCAAATGCATAAAATCAGGGAAAAGATGGAAATTGACCTTAGGAGAGAGAGAACCAGAGGAAGCGAGCTCATCACGAACCAAATCACCAGTAGAAATATGAGGAACATCGAGAAGCTTCGAAAGACGAGTAGCATAAGTGCCTTTACCAACACCAGGACAACCCAGAAAAACCCAGTGAACATCCTTACCTTTACCAAATTTCAAGGGATTTCCACCATTGATACCATTATTATTAGAAGTATCATTCCACGAAGAAGAAGAAGAATGAAGGGTAGTTTCGGAAGAAAGAGATGATGATGTAAATTTACGAGATAATATGGTTGGAATTAGAGATGAAACTTTGAATGTAGTTGATGATCTTGCAAGGCGGCTGATTACCGCCATTGATGAAGAGTGAAGAGGAGAGAGAAGAAGATGAGAGTTCTGGAAGAAGAAGGATGATGATGGAGGTGGGAGTTTGAAATTTTCAGTTGCTTTTGCAGGGAAAGTAGTAATTAACTCTAATTAATGTAGCTTCAAAAAAAAAAAAACTCTAATTAATGTAATTTCATGTTTATTCTTGGTGTTTTTTTACCTTGCTTCGTTGCTTGTTTAATACCACTTGTCTAGTTGAGCGACCATCAGTAATTCATTACGGAGTGCTACCCGTGGAAAGAGATGTCCAGAATGCAATTCACGTTGTTTAGCGGTTTGATTTCATATTGAAAGTTACCGAATAGCCAAAAACTGTTTGCTGATACTCGGGACATAATTAGTTGAGATGATCATAGGGCGGACTGGAATTTGAAAAAAAAAAAAAAGTCAATATTGGGCCAAAAGGCGTGCCCAAACCCGGTATTTAGGGCCCAAAATCAGGCTTTTTAGGCCAAAATTTAGGTTTGCCAATTTTTTTTTAATAAAAATAAGCTTTTTAGGCTATCCAAATCCATTTATTTGTTTTATAAATTGGGTTGAGCCTGAATTTCAAGCCTAAAAATTCTACCGAAATTTGGGTATTTTCTAGGCTAGGTTTGACATGATCGAGTCTATAATTAGTGCTTGTTTGGTTGCAAACAAGGGGAAGTCAAGAGTGAGACTGTTGAGGAATTGAAAAGTGATGTTTGGTTGGCATAAAATAGAAGAGATAATAGGACTTTCATGGAAAGTTGAAATTCTAATAAGATGTGGAAGATGACTTGCCACCCTTCTTGAGTACGTCAAATTTTCAATACAATTTGTGTATGTCTTTGTGCTACTCAAACAAGGTCTTAAAATAAATGCATCACTTTGACTGACACATATGTCAATACTTTTGATTATCAACAAAAATAAATTATAATAGAAAGTTGATAGTTGAAAACTATACATTGAGATGATTCTAGCAAATACTTACGCGCCTTTATTTAATATTATGTAATGCACAAATGTAGGTCAAATAATTGTGTAAATAGTGCAAAATTCAAAATTGAACATTTATTTTGAAACAGAGGGAGTAAGTCATTTTTAAAAAGTTCACAAGAATACTAACTTTCCATGAACATAATCTTCCTATGGGAATTTTATTCATGTGTGAACCAAACAAATACTTATTTACATTGCATCATACAACAACCAAAATTTCTTTTCTCATAATGACCATAACTTAACCCATAAGACCATAACCTTCCATCGATACATCAATCCCACTAATATCTCTAACTGGCTTACTTCCTCCCCTCACTTCACTCAACCACCATCTGCCGGTCACCGCTACCGTTACCGGTCCACCACGTTTCTTCTCACTCAGCAACATTGAAAAAAGTGGGAAAAAAACACTTCCACACTGGCAGAGTTTACGTTCTGAATCGCCTCCATGGTGGAGGGATCTACAATAGGTGCTTCTTTCATGTAAGAGGTAGCCAATGCAAATGTTGTGTTAAGGATGAAATCAGAGGGAGATTTCAACCCAGAAAATACAGAGTTTCCTTGAGATGAATTAATTGAAAACAAGAGAAAAGAAGGGATAACAGAATAGAGAGAGAAAGAAGAGAGATAGAGGGGTAAGATTCAGTGTATTAATTCCTTACCACAACTTAATACATTGCATGATTTATATAGCCAGCTAATTAAGCTTAAAACAAAAGCTAAAAGGAATCTTATAACCACCAGGAAAAAGACGAAAATCGAGTAACATTCATATAGTAACTAATTTTCCCGCCAAAACAAAACCAAATATTATTTGAGCTGTAACATACCCTCCCCCTTTAAGCAGACTTGTCCTCAAGTCAAGAGATGGGTAGACCCTGGGAACTGAGCCACAAAACCAGAACGGTTCTCCCAGGAAGCATCATGCCTTGGTTTATCACACCACTGCACCAACACTTGGTTAACAGACAGACCATTAACCAAAACAGACCTGGTATCCAAAATAGCAGCAGGAACCTGAGCTTGCACAACAGGCTTATCCATAGCAGCAGGGAGAATAGCCACAACAGGCAACTCACCTTGAAACTGCTTTAGCTGAGAAACATGGAACACATCATGAATTCTTGCTGAGCTAGGGAGATGTAGTTTGTAAGCAACCTTACCCACAACTGCAAGTACTTTAAAGGGGCCAAAATACTTAGCAGAGAGTTTATTATTGCTTCTAAATTGAACAGTCTGCTGTCTATAGCCCTGTAACTTGAGCCAAACCCAATCTCCCACAACAAAACTTCTCTCAGAACGTTTCTTGTCAGCTTGAACCTTCATTCTACGCTGAGCTTTAGTCAAGTTATCCTTCAGAACCTTCATTACAGCTTCCCTTTTTTGCATGCTTCTGTCAACCACTTCATTACTAGACTCACCGGGAAGGTAAGGTAAATGAATGGAGGGTGCTTGGCAATAGACAGCTTCATATGGTGTCATGCCAGCTGCAGTGTGGAAGTGAGTGTTATACCACCACTCAGCCACAGGCAAATATTTACACCACTCATTAGGCTTAGCACTAGTTACACATCTGAGGTAGGTTTCCAGACACCTATTTACTACCTCAGTTTGACCATCAGTCTCAGGATGGTATGCTGAAGATAATAAAAACTCAGTGTCATATAAAGAGAACAACCCTCTCCAAAATTGACTAAGAAAAATGGAGTCTCTGTCACTCACAATACTCCTAGGCCAGCCATGAAGCCTAAAAACATTATCCAAGTATGCTTGAGCTACCTCAACAGCAGTGAAAGGGTGCTTAAGAGCAATAAAATGAGCATATTTACTCATTCTGTCTACAACAACAAAGATCACATTTCTATGCATAGACATAGGAAGACCAGTAATAAAGTACATTGAGATGTCTGTCCAGATTTGCTCAGGAATTGGCAAAGGCTGTAATGCTCCTGGTTTTGCTGAAGTATCATACTTTGAAGCTTGACAGATGATGCATTTTCTGACAAACTGACTCACATCCTTAGATATGCCCTTCCAATAAAAGATATTTTTCACTCTTTTAAGGGTTTGATCTCTCCCAGAATGCCCTGCCTCCAGTGAAGCATGTTTCTAAGCTATCAATTTCTTTCTTAAATTGGCATCTGGACCCACCACTAGCTTGCCAAATCTTCTTAGCAAATTGTCCTGTAAGCTGAAGCTAGATACAGTCCCACCCTGACTCAGATTAGCTTGAGTGTTATCATCCAAAGCATAACTGCTAGTAATATGCTGAACTAGGTCTGAATCTATAACAGAAATGGCCAATAACAAACACTCGGATCCTTGCACCCTAGAAAGAGCATCAGCTACACTGTTTTCATGCCCAGCTTTGTATTGGATCTCATAGTCAAAGCCTATAAGCTTAGACAACCAAAACTGCTGAAAAGGTGTTGATATTTTCTGCTGTAAAAGCCATTTTAAGCTTTTCTGGTCTGTCTTGACAATAAAATGGGATCCCATCAAGTATCGTTCCCACTTTTGAACTGCAAAAACCATAGCCAAAAGCTCTTTCTCATAAACTAAAAGTTTCTGCCATTTTACACCAAGAGATCTGCTAATAAAAGCTAAAGGATGCTGATTCTGCATCAAGACTGCACCAATTCCTGTCTTGGATGCATCTGTCTCAACTGTAAACTGTTTAGAGAAGTCTGGGATAGCTAACATAGGAGCAGAAACAATAGCTTTCTTTAGATTAACAAAAGCAGCCTGAGAATCTTCATTCCAGTCAAATGCTCCCTTTTTCAGTAAATCAGTCAAGGGTTTGCTAACCACAACATAGTTCCTGATAAATCTCCTGTAATACCCAGCAAGCCCCAAAAAACTTCTCAACTCCTTGACATAAGCTGGAACAGGCCAAGACTCAATCACAACAACTTTACTAGGATCAGTTTCCACACCTTTTCCAGAGATAAAATGTCCCAAGTATTCCACCTTTTCAGTGACAAATGAGCACTTGCTGTCTTTAACATATAAAGCATTCTGAGACATTATATCAAACACTTGAGTAAGGTGATGCCAATGCTCATCCAGACTTCTACTGTAAACTAGAATGTCATCAAAAAAACCAGAACACATTTTCTCAACAAAGGTTTGAATACAGCATTCATCCAACTCTGGAAAGAGGAAGGGGCATTTGTTAAGCCAAATGGCATAACTAAGAATTCATAATGCCCTTCATGGGTTTTAAATGTTGTTTCGAACACATCATTTGGATGTATTCTTAATTGGTGATAGCCTGCCCTTAAGTCCAATTTGCTGAAAACAACAGCTCCAGATAACTCATCAATAAGCTCATCAAGGACTGGTATGGAAAACTTGTTCTTAATATTTCTTTTGTTCAACTTCTTGTAATCTACACACAGTCTCCATGTGCCATCTTTCTTCCCTATCAAAACAACAGGGGAAGCAAATGGACTGGTGCTTGACTGTATAATTCCCCTATCCATCATTTCCTGCACCAATTGTTCTATATTATCCTTTTGTTTTAATGGATACCTATATGGTCTAATATTCGCTCCAACACCTTGTTCAAGGTGAATTCTATGATAAAAAAACACCTCTGCTGGGAGGTAACCCTTCAAGTTCCTCAAAAATAGCAGAAAATCTTTGTTTCAACTTCTGCAACTCATGGTGTTCTCTGTCTCATCCACACAATTGTATCATACAAGAACTTGCAAAAATAGAACTGTCAGACACCTGTATTAAACAAATCTGAGCAGCATCAGACATTAACTTCTAAGAGGGACCAGTTGCTAACACCTTGAGTTTCTTAGGAGGAATTCCCTGTAATTCAATATCCTCACCATTTATGTGAAATTTCATGGTTAACAGTTTGAAATTCCAAGAGATAGAACCCAAAGTTCTTAACCATTGAATTCCAAGAACCATATCACAGCTGCCCAGAGGAATTAGCATATCACATCTGTAACATATTCCTTACCTCCAACACACCAAGTAAACTATCTGCAAATAGAGTGACAAACTAACTGATTACCATCTGCAATCATGACAACTTGACCTTCAATGGGTTCAGCTTTACACCCCAATTTACTAGTCATATGAATATCCAGGAAGTTGTGTGTGCTCCCTGAATCAATCAAGGTATGCAGAAGGGTGTCACCTACCGTAGTTGTTACTCTCATGGTATGGTAACTTTGTGCACCAGTTAAGGCACTGCAAGAAATTCTAGGATCAAGCTGCTCAATCTCTTCCTCAACCACTTGCTCTTCCAACTGTACTACAGCAGAATCCACTTCATCCAACCCAGGGATCTCAATAGTGAACAGCTGAGGTTCCTTGAATTGACATTTGTGATTCCTATCATATGGAGCATCACGGTAATAACACAATCCCTTGGCTATTTTCTCAGCTCTAACATCTGCAGGGACATATTTGGGTTTTTGGTAAGGTATTGAAGTAATTTTGGGTAAATTTAAGGGTGGGGTGGAAGGAGTAGGTAGTAAGGGTGGCTGTTTAGAATTGTAGCTAGGAGATTGGTAAGGTTTTTGGTATGAAATGGTCTGTTTGTAAGTTTTTTGTGAGTTGGCAAGGATGGATTCATCTTGCAGTCTAGCATACTCTACAGCAGCTGCAATAGTCTGAGGTTTGAAAGCCCTAACAAATGGTCTGAGCCCAGGCTTAAGACCACCAATGAAACTTTCCAGCAAATATTTTTCAGGTAAGCATATATTATTTTGCAGCATGATGGATCTCAGATTCTCAAATTCATCAACAAATGATTCAATACTACCAATCTGCTGTAACTTGTTAAACTCTTCTACCACATTAATTCCTTTTTCATCCTTAAAACGTGCAGTAAGATCAATGACAAAGTCACTCCAATCAACCCTAACACGATTAGCCATATAACTAGAAATCCAGTTTTCAGCCTTACCAGACATATTCAAAGATGCTAGATCAACTTTTTGATCCTCAGGAATTTTACATAAATCAAAATACTTACAACATTTCTTAATCCAGATCCTAGGGTTACTACCATCGAATTTTGGAAACTCTAGTTTAGGATTATACCCCAGTTTAGGCTGAACAGTTCGATCATCAGGTTTTGATTGTGCTATTTGATCCTTCATGAGATGCAGCATTCCCAAGAGTTCTTCGATCTTCTGAGCAGAAGCAGCTGAAGCAGTAGTCTGAGCTTCCAGCTTCTTTTCCAGCGCTGCAAGCTGAGCTTCCATTTTGCCAACTCGCGTAGTGAGAGTTGGTGCCAGACTGGTAGAGAACAGAGAAATACAGCGGAGGCTCTGATACCACTGTAAAGGATGAAATCAGAAGGAGATTTCAACCCAGAAAATACAGGGTTTCCTTGAGATGAATTAATTGAAAACAAGAGAAAAGAAGGGATAACAGAATAGAGAGAGAAAGAAGAGAGATAGAGGGGTAAGATTCAGTGTATTAATTCCTTACCACAACTTAATACATTGCATGACTTATATAACCAGCTAATTAAGCTTAAAACAAAAGCTAAAAGGAATCTTATAACCACCAGGAAAAAGACAAAAACCGAGTAACATTCATAACAAATTGTAGATTTGTAGTAACTAATTTTCCCGCTAAAACCAAGCCAAATATTATTTGAGCTGTAACATGTTGCCCTCGTGGTGAAACACAATGCAGACACTAGTATTACATTGGAAGCTCGAAATGCAAACACTGTTGCCTAGTGAGGTATCTACGCATTACAGCCCCTATCACAATGAAAAAAACACTGCAGCCTAGTGAAGGCATATACGGTTTGAGCCCCTAATCACAATGGCAGTATCTAACATAAACACCTTCACAATGGAGTAAGCCAACCAACGGAAAACTCAGTAGTGAAAATGTGCAAACTAATGCAGGTTGAAATAAAGGTATAATTGATTATGTATTATGTGATTTTGAATCTTATTGTACATGTCGGAACGGAGGCTATTTACTTAGTTTAAATAAAAGTTGAAATTCATTAAGTATTCGTTAAATCTTGTCTTGACTTCTGGTCAAACGTTGGTTGTTTCCACACCAGACTGAAGTTACCAATTGTGGCAAAAGGGACTGATGGTTCACTTGAGAGTGAGGGGGTAACAAAGGGTCGCCGAAATGGGGTATATCAGCAATTCGGCATAATCAAATGCATATAATAATCTATACCCTATACCCTATCAAATGCATATAATAGATGAAGCTCAAATCATTCATACAATAATCACGAGCTCAACTCTCGCAAGAAAATAACCCGCAGACAAGGAGCTACAATAAATTCAAAGGCAGAGGGCCACCACACATTCTGAATTAGATTGGAAAAACACACTAGAAAGGAATGAATTACATTGCAGATTCACCATATATAAGATCATAAAACTCACTACCTCAATAAACTAATCACAATGGTACTCGCATATGGAGCGCAAAGATAGACATAAACTACAAGTAAAGTGGTACAGGTTACATGTGATCTACTCCATCATCCTCAGAGATTCCATCCCCACCATGCCTGCGACAAAATTAGGAATTCAAAAATGAGATCATTCCAAGTATATGGATTATCAATATATTCAATGGTTTTACGGATCAGGAAGGGCAAAAAAGAGAAATGTAAAACTAATACAGCCTATACGGTAATCTAAACACATGGCAATATAAACGTTAAATGCAGTGGGAAATAAACCAAATCCAAAGGTGCATCAGAAGCATTATGCATATTATAACAAATCATAATTTCACAGATTCACTTCAGTCAAGTGGTCCTTTATGAAGTTTCCTAGGAAAAGTATGTTGATAACAATTATTAGTATACAAACGTATTCAAATCATATAAAAGGAACTGATACAGCCACAGAAAACCTCAAGAATCACCACCCCTTTTATATGTGTCAATAGGGGTGTCAGTGGGGCGGGTCAAGTAGGAGACCCGCCCCATCCCCGTCCCAATGGGGCAGGGATGGGTCTCGATTTGGCGGGTGGTGGGGCGGGGATGGAGATAAAAACCATACCCGCCATGGGTGATGGGGCGGGTTGGATTTTAAGTTGCACCCGCCCCGCCCCACCCGCCCCACTTCATACCCGCCCCATCCCCACCTCATACCCACAACTATATATTTTTTAAAGCAAAATTACATACTTTTATTTTATAAAATAATTACATAAAATAAAATATTAATTATAATACTTTGTACGACACTTATATTATAACACAAAAATGTGTATAGAATGTTTTATTTTATAATTCGTATTAATTATGTAAGATTGTGTATTTGAGATACGGATATTAGGTGGATCTTGGGTGGGGATTAGGCGGGTCTTTGGTGGGGATTAGGTGGGGATGGATATCCAAGTGGGGGGTGGGGCGGGGATGGTTTTGGAGTTGTACCCGGTGGGACGGGGATGGGAATGAAAATTGGACCCGCCGCGGGGATGGGGATGGGGATGGAGATGAAAATATTAGGTGGGGATGGGGATGGGGATGGGAAGGCCAACATCCGCCCCGCCCCGCCCCATTGACATCCCTATGTGTCAATTTGGCAACTGAACGTCACTATACCAAAAATATTACATCCTTTTTTGCCGAACTATAGAGAGAAACTAATGGAGGTGTTCAGGAAGGAGTGAGGAGAGTGGTAGATTCCATGGGGTGGAGTAGTTATCAAACCTCATGGGCAAGGTGTTAAAGCGATAACAATTTCACAGATTAGGGAAATGATTGTGGTCTTGTTGGTGGATGAAGGATAAAGAGTGAGGGTAGGCAAATAAAGGAGATCAGGTAGGAATAATGAGATAACAGATGAGCTCAAATCTTAAGTCCGGTTCGGTATCATATTTGGCTTTTATTTTTTGAACTGGAAACTAATAAAGCTACATCACTAATACTTTGAAATTTATACAGGCACAAGGAGGTCCAGATACAAATCAAAGAACAGGGAAAATTTACAACTAACAAAATTCATTATAATGAAAAATGGAATAGGTTTTATATTTCTGCAAAAGCCACTTATTTGGACCGATGGCAAGAATACCACTACAGTGTTGCTTTAGGCCATTTTATTTAATTGAATCAATTGGAAAGATTGAATAATTCTATACGCTTGCACTATTAAATGAATTATAAATTCAAGGTTGGAAGAAGAGAAAAGTGAGAAAGAGAGTAATAGAGCGAGAGTGAATAGAAAAAGGCAGCAGCTGCAACAACCTGGCCATGGTGTTGATTTTGGCAGTTTGCATACATATAAAAGAGGTGGAAAGGGGCATTAACAGGTAACGGGATACTGCAAAGGATCCTGGGCTGCCTCACTGGCCCTTGCTTGAGTTGCTACACCACCACAAGGTCCACAACTAACTGTCATGAAACTGAATAGAGAGAACAGCAAAAGGGGGTTGAGTTCTAAAAGAGAAAAAAGAGATAAGAGGCTTTGACAGATAAGGGAGATAGTTTGTGAGGTCTAAGAGGTTGAAGGTTTGTTATCCTTCAAAGTTAAAACATTTATTAATTTATGAGATTTGCTGGGGGGGGGGGGATGAATCTACAACAATGCCGAATGGACCCTTACTTTTTTCAGCAGTAGAGAAAGCACCATAAAAGTTGCATATGTGGAATTGGGAAATATGACCCATGACAAGGATACTACAAGGTGTTCTCTCACTCAATTCAGCTATATTACACAAAATTCGAGTACTGTAGGACATGAACACATGCTCAGGTCTCAGATGACATTAGGAAAATTCACACTTAATTTCCAAAATTGTGTGTCAAGTGTCCATACCTATATTAGATTGCAGAGTAACCAACATGACAATATTGGTACTATAGGTGAAATGAAATATGAAGGGCTCGGGTAATATAGCTCTCTAAAAATTAAAAAACACCCAAATAGAGATAGGCTAGCCGTTAGCAGCATGGAGCCATAAATGAATGCTACACATGTATACAACCTATTCCGAACACACATAAAGTAACCTGGTTCATATCTTAATTGTATTTGGGTAGCCTGTGAAGGTGTTACCATATTACTCAACTGTTTAAATTCTAGACTTCGGGAAAAACAAACGAAACTTCTCAGATCACAAACCCGACAATTAAGTAAGCTTAATTATCGCAAGGTTATTAGGGTTAGTCTGTGAAGGACTGAAGGTGTTACCATGTTACTCAGCTGTTAATATTCTAGACTTGCAACTAAATGATAAAGAAAAAAGAAAACACACAGCTTCTCAAATTCCAATCACTCAAGAAAAAAGATAAGCTCTAGAGGTAAAAAAAAAAAAAAAAAAAAAAAAAAAAAAAAAAAAAAAAAAAAAAAAAAAAAAAAACTAGAGAGGAGGGGAGATAGACCTCCATGAAGAAGTTAGATTCCGAGTTTTCCTATCCAATTGTAAGTTTTCCAGGGCAGCTGAAGCACGCATCACATCCTCTGGCAATTCTTCACCATCATATCTCCAGTTGTAATCATCTTTCCTGTAGCTAGATGTAGAAGACCCTGCTCTCCTCTCTGACATGCATTATATATCATCATTTCAGGTAATTAAAACACCAAAACTCTCAACGGATTCCAGAAAAAGGTACAGCTTATTCCTTACCAGATGCCTGAGACCCCGGATGCGATCTGTTATGAGTATGTACAATAATTAGAACTTAAAGAGGTGAAGACCTTGTAAAAAACACAACATGCATCAGTGGGGTTTCAAGTATAAGTACCTCACTAACGGAGGTAAGCCTCCAGCAACAGATGATGATGATGGTCTTCGAACGTTGCGTGGCTCAACATTTGACGAAGACTCGTTTTCAGTATTCAATCTCCTTCCACCGCCTCTCACTTGGGCTAAATTCTACACAAGTCAACCAGTAGCATGCAGTTAGTATAATAGAGTACTAGCAAGAAAGAAGACCAGACATGATCCTAATATTTGGAAAGCTTAGCAACTATACAATCAATCTACCTATCTATACGTAGTAAATTAAAACACAAAGCTTTAGGGACACAAGTTGCCTCCCCTTTTATCTTCTTTTTTCCTTCTATAATTATTCATGCCTCTTTTCCCTAGTCTCCACCCCTCTTCCCCTTCATCTTTCAACAATTAACGTTCAGAATTAATCCCTCACTTAATCCTTAAATTCTTTCAACCTAAACTGAATCTCTCATATAATTAATACTAGTATCAATTCTCATATACCCCACCCCTCCCAACTTTTATTCAACCATTTTACGAATTCAAACTAAACCATTGGATCCAATGATGTATCAATAACTGAAAGAGAAGAAATTAACACGATAGGAATTTTATCATTGATGATTTATAATTAGATAAATCAATGGTACATCCATTGTGCACGTACATCTTAGGGCGTGTTTGGTATCCCTGTCATTCAGCTTTTGGGTTTTAGATTTTTATAAATTATACGATATAACTTGTATAATGAATTAAAAATTAGTCAGCCTTCAGATAATCATTAATTTTGAAAATTGACAACAAAAAAGTGAAAATTACTCTTTTTTTTTATTTTATTTTTTTGTCATTCTTTTTATTTCCATGTTTTTGGTTTTTGTTTTCAAAAAAAACTGAAAACTGGAAACAAAAAAACGACAATAAATGAGCCCTTAGTTTTTCTCCTGTAGCAAATTCTTAAACCTATTTTGTGATAACTTTTTTCTAGACAATATTGAGCCCTATGAAGGCTATGATTACATAATCATACATCTTTCCAGATTTTTATCCGTTCTAGGTACATATGTTATGTGCATACCAAACACTGCCACCTCTGATATTTGAAATTTGTAACTCTTAACTATTCCCATATTGTTGTAAATTTACCTCTGTTACCAAGCAACTCTTACTTTCGAAGTCAATACAAAAAGAAGATGAAAAGAGGTACTTAGCAAGATTAGCATGATGTGAGGTTAAGTGGCCAAAGGTTCCAACGATAAGTAATCAACAATCACCCAATAAAATTCATATGTATGGCCCTCAACAAATATGCCCTAGTGAAAATCCAGCAAAGTGTGACAACTCAAGACCCTAATCATTTATTCACTTGGCAGCTACAACTGTGAGACTCAATTATTCAAGACTTCAGTATCCAGCTCACAATACACATAAAATGAACGATCTATTAGAATTTATGCGTGATCTATTAGAAGATCATGCGGCTACTCAATGAAACCAGCTCTGCTATGACATTCAATAGACACTCAGCACAGCTAAGCTTTTGTGGAACCTCTCCAGCAACCCCCCCCCCCCCCAGTATATAAATGCTACCTAGTGACATCAGCCCACTTATGACCTTCAACAGAGACATTCAGCACATATTAAGCATCATAAATACCGCCTTAAATATGTTCCTTTTCTTTAAATTACCCTCGAAAACATAAGTACACAGCCCCTCCGAAGTGAACCCACATAGAATATATACCAATACTTAGCATCAACCACATAAATACATAACACATATAAGACATGGACAGCAATTAATGAAACTAAGACTAAAGAAAAAGGTTAATGGGATACATAGCCTGTATATTTTTATCAGCAGTTATATAGACCTTATATCCTACGATCCAAATTATCATTGCTACACATTACAAAAATAATAGGAAACCACATTAAATTCCAATATAACTATAAGTATTACCACGAGAATAATTATACTTAAAGGTAAAAACTTAGGAAAGAAGTCAAATTTTTGCATTAACTACGATGAAACTCCTTCTGAATTTTAAAAACAATAAAGTTACAATGACAATATTGTTAAAAGATGGAAATTTAAAACCATACTGAAAATATTGGCCTACTAGAAATTTTGTTTTCTAAACCAACACGAGGTAAATTCTTTAAGAAAGAGAACCCCATCATTTTTAACATGTTCCAAAGCATGATAGTGTATGTCATTAATCATACCTCAAACTTTAAAAATCCTTCAAGAACATCTAAAAGCACAGGACCACTTTCTCCATTCCTGCTAAGATCATATCCATTTTTGCTGCTAAATTCTTTCAACTCAGCTTTCCAGAAATCTTTCGGCTGCAAAACAAAACAGCAAAGATACATAAAGAATGAGTATTTTGACCAGAGGTAGTGGTACTATGACTACTATCATCTTTTAATGGATTCTGCAACAAAAATTGGTTCTAGATACCAAGTTACACTCTGGAAGATAAACTTTAAGCGTGTGATTTAGCTGTGCCCAGTCCATGTATTCACATATTAGAGCAGTAAGAAGCCTCCCTGCATTTGAAAAAAAGATTCAACTAAAGTTACACACTAAAGAAAGAGTTAGAACTGGAAATTTGAGGTTCTGTATCAAAAACAAATAAGCCACATTCAAATAATACAATTTAACTGCCAGGATCAAAGAACCACATAAAGATATTTTCACACAACCAAGGCAAGCCCCCAAACCCTAATTTCAATTGGGAGATGAGATCTTCTAACCATAGCTTTCTGAATCAGAGACAGGGATGGGGTGACAGCATAGAAGCAGTTCATCAATTCCCTCTGATAATACATAATTGTCCATCATGTCAATAAGTCCATTAAATCTTATCAAAAGCTACCTTTGAATAAGACATTATTCTAATGTATGTTAGCTAGCTGGGGTCATCCCAGTTTGTTTATCATGCCCTTCTGCCTCCTCAAACAAACAACATTCTAATTTCTAAATTTGAACACACCATGAATTATGATTAACAGTTCTAAATCAGCTACACATTAACTGTGATAGCTCACTAAAGTGCAGAAAATAAACAGCAAACCAGTAACTTCTAAAACTAAAAAGTCCATTAAGGGAAAAAATTTATCAGTATATGAATTAGAAAATGTCAGAAAAATAAAATTTTCTGAAGTAAGCAATATACGAAGTATGAAATTGAAAATGTCAGAAAAATAAAATGTTCTGAAGGAAAAACTTAAAATGGAGAAATAACTGTAATTCCTCCATTCCAAAAAGAATTTCACACTTTCCATTTTGCAGTATCCCAAAAAGAAGGTTACGTTTTCCCTTTGCTCTCCGCCCCCAGCAATTTTTTTTCTCTCTTTTACAACACTTTCTCTTACTTATGTACTGTGTACCCACTATAATTCAACAGTTAATCTTATTTTCAATTTCAATCCCACGCCTGAAGATCATCGGGAGGGATGAAGTAATTGAGATGTTGTACGGTTGTACCCTTAACACTAACACATATTGCACCAAGAACCTGCAAGGATATGATAACATCAACAATGCTACTCATAATACTTCATCTAAGCACATGAATCCTTCAGTTCCACAATCCATGAGTTGAGAACAATAGTCTATATGCTTTCATTTCTGTCCCAAAGAAAGGCATGGAAGACGGGAAGACTACATATATTAAAATATACAATATGGAGTTATTAACAGCACCAAAGCTCTATATGATACCTCATTCTACCCCAACTTCCACAATGTTCCAGGAAAGATGTCAAAGGGTGATCTACAAAACTAACAACACTCCAGTACGCTTACAGAAGCTCATATTTTCAAAATAACAGAAACATGAGGAAAAAGTTAAACCCTTTCACATAGTCCAAACAGCAAAGTCTTCTAATACAAACCTAGATAAATATATCAATTGACAGCAATTTGACCTGAATCCAATCCACGTCTGACCCAATCCAAAATAAAAAGTCTGACCTGAGTACGAAAAAGAAAATTCGAGCCTGAATCCGATAAAACTCCTAATCCTAATAGGAGTCGGATAGGACTGCACTGCATTCAACCGAGTCCAACCCATACGTTCTACCATGTTTGATAGTATAAATTAAGCCTAGCCTGAAACTTCACTTTTTCCTCCATCACTTTTCTAACTCTATTTTCCCTATCTTTCTCTCTCCTCACCAGTTTTCCTCCTATCCGTTCCCCAGCCTCTGCCAAAATTTATTTGGAGTTGTACTGTTGTAGAATTCTGTCAACATTACAGCAACTTCAACTTCTTCTCCTCTTAAATCTCTCACGAACATCTCACTTGTTCAAACATTTATCAATCAATCAGCAGCCTAAAAATTAAAATTTAAATAGGAACAACAATAAACGCATAATCTCTCTCTTCCTCGTCTATTGAATTTGGAATGGTTTCTCACACTACTGTTTGTATATGTAAATTTGTCATGATTTGAAGCATGAAGCCTAAAGCAACCAAGGTTTTGATATTGAAGTTCATCTCAAAAACAACGAGCGCATTGTGCCATGGGGCTTTCCTCTCTGGAAACAATATTAAGAAATGTTTTTTTTTTAGATAGGATTTTTTTACTCTTATAATTGTTCAAGTAATAATTATCATTATTTAACTGTGTAAGTGTTGGGGATTAGGAGTATCAATTTCACTGTTTGACTGCTACTAGCTTTTAGGCATTTAAATGAAATTTGGAATTTCATATGTAAATCTGAAAAGGGGTAATAGAAAATCTATTTATTAAACCGATTTGGAGTTGGGGGTCAAACATGGCCATGTCCATCAGATTTGGAGTCCAATCAGTGAATCAGGCATATTCGGAGTCAGACTCAAATTTCAGCTCATTTATTATACAGTTCAGATTTTAGACCTTGCATACTTTGACCTGAGTCCAATTCACCGCCATAGCTAAGAGCAATGGCGTCCACAACATTGGGCACTAATGAACAAGAATTTAAATGCATGGTCATGTTATTCCATCCTGATAAGGAGAATTATCTTAAAGTGGCTCCATGTGAACATTGGACCAGACAGACCACCAAGAAAAAAGTGATTCACATCAGCATAATTACATGACTACATAAGAACTACTGCAGTATTTAGTATATCACTCAAACATAGCAAATGCACAAACCAATCAATTGCTTTGTTGCCCCTACAATGTATGGTCAATAAATATGTTCTAAATTTTCTAAGCAACTCCCTTAATCAATTATAACAAAATTAGTTTTCCATCAACCTAAAGTTACTCTCGGATGTCTGAGTTATAATTAAGTATAATGTCCTTAGATTCTCCTATGAACACTTTTTGAGAATAAGAAACTTGTTCATTAAACTAGCAGGCGGGTCACCCAAATGCCAAGCCTTTTCCGCCACCAACTCGACGTCGTCAAATATAAAACTATCCAGAATTTCACTTATCTTATCAAATTTTAACTTACTTACCTAGAACTTATATTATTAGAACTTATTAGACCCGGAATAAGTGAAAATATAGTCCCCGGCTAATTTGAACTTATTAGTCCTCAACTAGGGTGTGTTCAATTCACATGAACTTGTCTAAACTTAACTTATTAGACCTTATTCCCCTAATTTTTATGTTATATTTATATGTACACCTAATAAGCTTATTAAACCTAATTAGCCCTAAAACTATTTTTTTTAGGAGAACAAAGCACACCCTTATATAGTCTAAACTTATTAGCCCTAAACTTTAAAGCCAAAACTTTGTGCATTATTTAAACGTAAATTAACTGTTTGTACTTGAAGTTAAATGTAAATATGGTGAGGAGAACAGGACCTTAACCTACAAGATGATAGCAAAGTGACTTTGTACCAAGTAGGTCAAAGGCAATACCTAAACTCCGAAGAATATTATTCTCCTTAGCCGTTTCAACACCACCAAACTAAATTTGTAATCAATCTTCATTACTCAGAGTCTCAGAGGACAAGCCCAAATCTCCTTAAACATTGTAAAAAGACTTTTCAAAAGATTAAGACAATATCATTATTTTTAAAACTTAGTTGTCCATTTCAAAGTATTCCATAAATTAAATAAGCAGCCGATTGGAAAACTACTAAAAAGCCAGAATATTTATTTCTAGAGGTCAATTGTTCATTTATTTCTAAGTATTCCAAAAATAAAATAAGCAAACACTAATATTGTCTGTTCCACTACATTACTATTGCTTCTTCGTCTACCATTTCCTGAAATAGAATTATCTAAAATAGTACAATCACACCTCAAAACTTGATGAGCCAATTCATAATAGTCTCATAAGAAAGTAACTAATAAGCCACACTAGTTCCTCAAATAACTAAAGTTGCACTCACCATCACCACCTCCTCTTCCCCCCCCCCCAAAAAAAAAAAAAAAAAAAAAAAAAAAAAAATAAAAAAAATTGCTTCTTGAGAGTAGAAGTGAATCTTCCACGACTATTAATCATCTATTACTCTTGTGACCAGCACTAAAGCACAATGATAGCTCGAAAATACCATGATATTAACAAACCAAACCAGAAACCAAAAGGAGAAATGATAAGGCTAAACCGCTAAATAAATAAAACTGTAAAAGTAGGGGGGATCATAAGCCACCTGAAGGAGAAGCATGAAGTTGTTTGGCACGATCATTGCAGCTACCCAGTAGTGCTGGAGGCAATTCTTCTTCTTTCTCAACAACTCGATCCTCTTCCTCGATCGCTTCAAAAACACTAGCTCTAAGCTCGGCCTAGGGAAAACAATGAAATCGATTAGCCACGTATTTACCAAGGAAGTGCCACACCCAGATTAACCATAAGAATGATCTAAATAGAAGTGAACAAATTCAAAACAATAAACAGTTGCCAAATTAAATAAATAAATTGCGATAAATTAGGAGTAAGTTGTGAAATTACAGATGCTAATTTTACATCGGTAACTGATCAATCTAACTGAACTACACATTAGCAAACTCTGCTTCAAACAAACAGAAATGTTACGTTACCCAAATTCAACATCCCAGAAAAATCTTTCAATTTTAGCTACAACCTTGAACATTTAGGCAATAACCCAAATCAAAATCCCCAATTTTGAAAAGAAAAAAGCCCTAATTTCAAAAAAACAAAAAAAAAAAAAAAAAAAAAAAAAAAAAAAAACCATTACATGGATGATGAAATCAATTGGATTCTGCAAAATTTTCAAACCCTAAATTGTAAAATTCATAAATGGCATTGGAAAATGGCAACAAATTCCCAGCTCATAACTACATTTAAATGTTAAACCAAACAGAAACTACAAGAACAAATTAAAAAGGGGAAATGAACAAAAAAAAAGGGGGGGAAATTGAAGAAAAATTACTCGGATCTTAGCGAGAACCCCTTTCTTCTCAAGAGTACGGGTGACAAGGGTTTTAAGGTCCATCATTTCTCTGGTGTAATCATCCATTTTTGAGTGATTGAAGGTTTCGTCGTCGTGTAGTTTCTCCTCTCAAACCAGGTCTTGGAACTCTGGATTTGCTTTGCTTCCGAAGTGAGAGAAGAAAGGGAAGGTGGGACAAATTGTTGGAAAATACTTTTTTTTTTTTTTTTTTTTTTTTGAAAAACTTGTTGGAAAAATACTTCAATATTTCCAATTCAAATTACCAACGTATGTTGTTTTGTACGTACTAAGAACTTCTTTGGTTGAACGGAGAAAGTAGAAATTCCCGTGAAAACTCAATGCCCATGAAATTATAATTTTTAGAAATTGTCAAAATTTGTTTGGTTGAATGTGGGAATTCCCATGGGAAGTTTAACTTATCTAAGGGGGACTAGGTAAGTTAATTCCTCCATTTTGTGGGAAGTAGAAGTCCCACTTCCTACATCATTGTCAACCAAACAAGTATATAGAAATCTATTTCCTAGGAAAATAAACTTCCCATGAATTTATTAGGCAACCAAACAAGTCCTAAGTATTTTCAATTTAACTTACCTTTAATACTTCCTCCGTTTCTTTTTAGTTGACACGTTTGTCATTTTGTCAATGCACTTATTCAAGCATTAATATCTTTAATTATCGATGAGTAAAAATTTTGAAAAGTTGATATTTTGAAAGTATATAACGTTACGAATCTAACAAAATCCCACATGACTATATTTTTTCATTACGTATAAAGCACAAAATACGGTCAAAGGGAGGTGGATGAGTAGTGCTAAAGTCAAAACGTGTCAACTAAAAAGAAACAGAGGTAGTATTAGGAAAATTTATTAAAAATAAGTCAATCTTTAGTCGGTTTGCTCAAAATAAGTTAAGCTTTTAATTAACTCAAAATAAGTCGACCTTTTCTACCCTTTTACTTTAAATGCGTTTTTTTACCAGTGACCTGCACAACTATTGACCATTGAGGTTGGTTAATGGGGAAGAGAAAGTGAAAAAATAAAAAATGAAGAGAGAGAAAGTTTTGGGAAAATTTTGCAATAACCAGGTTGTAGAAATAATCGGTTATTTGCATGGGGTTATAGAATAAAATATTCCAACTTGATGGGTTTTCATGTCTACCCATGATGACATGACACAAGAAGATTGTGACTCCTATGTATTTGATCAATGACTAAGATTTATTCTGAATTTATAACCATTTTAATTTTTGTAACGGCCATAATTTTTAAAATATAATTCTAAAAACAAAATTACCAACGACTCTATTTTTTTTCCTCTATAAAATGACTAAATGAGCCCAATATTGAGGTACTTTGAAACACTTTTTGTGAAAGTGAATATTATTGTCTTGTAAACCAAATTGTGTAGAGATGAATATTCCAAAATCCAATTGGAAAAAAAAAAAAAAAAAAAACCCTATAAATCTCAAAACTGATCACAACCCTAAAATAATCCAAATCTTAAACCTTACTATTATAACCTTCCAATTGATCTCAACTCGGATTTAGATACAAATTTTCAAAAAATTTTGAATTATAGTTCACAAAATCTCAATTTCTCAAATCCAAGTACTTTCACTTCTTTTCCTTTTCAACCACCATAAAATTCTAATTATTCATATTCTCAAAATGTTACCCCATCTTTTGAGAATATTCAAATCTCTCAAGGTGATTCAACATTTCCTATGTCCCAATTTCCTATGTTACAAGGTGATGTGCATTTTCGAGTTTCGATTGCTCATACACATCGAATGCATCAGATGAAGACAATGAACCAAAAGTAGAAGAAGTCGAATTCAATGAAAGAGGTCATGAAGGAGGCAATCAAAATGGAAAAACAAAGTTTCGGTCAAAAGATGAAGAAGTAGTTCTTATAAAGGCTTGATTTGAGGTTAGTCAAAATTGTAAAAAATCTAACACTAACCAAAAGGGCGATGTTTTTTGGAGGAAAATTGAGGAAATGTATAAAAATGTTAGACTATACAAACAAAAGTGTTTCGAAGAAGGTACTAACGGGGTAACACGAGAAGATTTGTTGAAAATGAGGGGTTCGGAGCAACTTAGAAACCGTTGCAGAAGGATCAATGCTTCATGTTCTAAATTTTGTGGTTCACATGCTCATGCTCAATCAAGAAGGGGAGGTGGTATAATGATGAAGATGTTATGAAGACAACATATAACATATATGCTAATGACAAAACAAAGACATCATTGATGTCTAAAAACCTTCTAAGACAAGCATGTTTGGGACATTCTGATACAACATGATGTGTGGAAACCAAGTGAAGATATTGTTTAAAAATGCAAGCAAAAAACATCTACTCAAGGAAGTGACTCAAAGAGATCATGTATCAATGAAGCTGGCAACTACTCATCTTCATCAAACCCAAAAACACCAACAAGTGATGATATTGGGTATTCAGGCTTCCCTTCCAGCAATAAATCTAGCAAAAATAAAGGAAAGAGCAAGATGACAAACATGCCACTTGGAGTATGGCAGCAATGGTTCGACACTGCCAGAATATGAACCTTAAGGCAATCTGAAAATCAACAGGAACTTACAAGGTTGCAACTAGAAAGGGTGAAAGAAGCAAGGAAGCAAAGAAAAATTAACATGGAGTTATTTAAACACCTCAATTCAAAGCCAAACTTATTTCGAAAGATCAAGAACTAAGGAGCAATTTGTTGAAGAAGGTGTTCCCCTCAGACTGATGTATTAGTGTATGGTTAATTATAGTTTGAATGTTGCTTAATTTCAAATAATTTCTTTTTTAGTTTTCCAGTTTTATGTACTAAGGTCCGATTTTTTATTTTGGCAAGTTTTAATGTGTTGTTGATTTAGGATATGAATGAATGTTACACTGTAATTCCATTATTTAATAAAAAAAACAAGTTAATAACATATCCCTTATTAAAATCGTATTATATGCTTTATATGTACATAAATTATTAGAATAAACCCAGCAATTCACTTTGATATATCACTGCAGAAGATGTACATTGATTTACATTACACTGAAAAAGAATTAATGTACCCAACACTGAAAAGAAAATATTAGATACTAGACATTGATGTACTTAACAGTTAACACTAAAAAAAGTAATAGTGAATAATGTTGTACACTGATGTACTTAACACTAAAAAGAAAATAGTGACATTTCATTACTTTTATGTACATAACAATGCTAAGGTGATAGTGACAATACAAATGCATGCATCTACATTACTAAAAAAAATTATTAACTTCTTTCTGAATCAATGCATGCATGCAAGACTTCAAATTTATCATATAAGACAAAAAATATGACTACATACCAAACACATTTGTTCTATAAAATGGATGAGATGCATTTCCGTCGATCAATCATCAATTTTTTTCCCCTAATAATCTTCTACCTTCCATCTCATATCAACTTGGTTTTAATAACATGTCATCCGACGAAAACTCCAACTCTTCTAATTCCTCTTCAATTCATAAAATAGCCAAACACAACGATATGAAAGATGAAGGCAAGCGAATTGTCTTGTTAATCGAATGATGAATGAAGTTTTTATGTCCAATCCAATCGAAGTATATCAAATGTAAAATCAAGTTCCAAGGGCACCAAGGATCCCTGTTCCAAAGGATCGTGAGGATGGACACAATCGTTTATGAAATGACTACTTTGCTGACCATCCTGTTCCATAGTTATTTCGTCGGAGATTTCACATGAACAAACATATATTTCTCCAAATAAAGCAAACTTTAGAAGAACGTCATCCCTTCTTTCAGCAAAGACAAGATGCTACAGGAAGATTTGGTGCCTCCGTATTGCAAAAATACACTGCTGCTATGAGGCTAATAGCTTATGGCACCTCTGCTGATTCTGTTCCATGGATGACTACATTCGAATTAGTGCATCTCTTGCAAGAGATTCACTACAACATTTTATGGAAGGAATTGTCTCTCACTTTAGTGATGAATACCTTAGAAAGCCCAATGAACAAGATCTGATAAGACTATTAAGACTTGGTGAACGTCGAGGATTTCCAAGCATGCTATTGTAGACTCCTAAAAATGTCTCCCCAAAACCAAACTCGATGATGAACAACCTTTCACCGCCATTATTGGTCAGGTTGAGTATTTAATCTTGGAGTGCTTAAATCCATATTTCCATTTCATAAACCAACCCAATTCATAGACCATTTCCCAAACCATAACTTATTTTCCTCTGTTCGTGCCTTTAAACCCAAAAGAATTCAATTCGTGTCCTTTAAAATCATTCATTTCGTGTCCTTTTTATAAAAACGTTTTGTTTAGTTTATTTTGGTCCATAATCTGGGTCCAATGATTTAATAATTGGATGGGGCTTAAAAAGAGCTTTCCAGCTATATATAGTAAGCCCAAATCCGAGTTATAACAAATAAGTTATGACCAAAATATTAAACTAAGACCAAACCGAACTTAACCCCACCTTACCTACGACCCAATGATCATGTTGAGGGTCCAAAGGATTTAATCCCATTCCTAAACAAATTAGGATTGATTAAAATCTTCTATAAGTTTCTAAAAGATCTTAATTATTCCTTTTGAAAAGATAAGATTAAAGAGTTTGAAATTTAATAAAACTTTTCTTTTTGAAAGTCCTAATTCTATTCGAATTGAGAGACTTTCAAAGATAGTCAGATATTATTTTCGTGCCTCATAGTTTTTATCCAAATCTTAGATGGTTAGTGTAGGCGTCGCTCGAAGTGCGCCTACATTAAAGCATGTGTGAATATGCTTGGCACTCATAGAAAGTGGGAATTGACATAATACAATTAGGGACAAGGAAAGTAGGGAGCCGCCAACAAGTTTTTAAGGAACTTGTAAACCGTTCACAGATCATTTAAGGCAACCACGAATAAAGGGACAACGATAGGCAACAACGATTGACCCGTGAAGGTTACACCCCATTCATAATCCATGAGATTACTAACTCCATATGGTTCGGAACCACGAAAAGAGGATCGGGGATGATGGTACTGATGTGTCTATCTTATATAGTATTTTACCCCCGTCCCTTGGTCATAATTAGTAGTGTTTTTGGCTCTTTAGAGCCACTAATTGGTGTTTTCTAGTGTTTTCGTAGATTTGGTTGACTTTTCCAGGGATTTATGCTTTTGGAGTATTTTCCTGAGATATTTCGGAGCAATCACGAACAT